CTAGTGTTTGAGGAAGAAGTCACATAGTTGTCATGAAATATTGAAATAGATGTGAAAAATATTTTATGCATTATAAGGAGCATTAATAAATTGGCGGATACGATTTGTTATGAATAAACACCTCACAATTGTAATAAGCTCATAATAAGCAACTATTTAAAACCGAAAGCTACCCTTTCTTTGAGCATTAAATTTAAAGAAGGCGAAATTTTCTATCAAAAAGGTACAAGAAATTATTTTTTCGTGCATGCTTTCCATAAAATATATTTGAATTAATAAAGGCAGTCAAAATCAATGATAAAAAGGCATACTACTTAAGTAGCCACTTTTTACAATAGATACTTTTTGCTGGTAGTCCAAACGAAGGTCGTTAAAAAGCCCGCAACCTATTATGACGGAATAATTTTCACAATATGCTACACGATAATCAGTATGACAACCTGAGTCAATACCGATTAGCGGAAGAGTATCAATTTTTCGCCTATGTCGAAATGTTGCGTGATCCGTGGCGTCTGCTGTTCAATACCGACAGGCACAGAGGAGGCTGGAATGGCCATTTCAGGCCTTTCACCATTAGTTATATTGTTGATCGAAACGGACAGAACAACGAGCCCGTGGTGCAGTGGTAAGAACGCACGACTTCTAACAGAAAGGAAGTGGGTTCGTGCCTCGTGTCCTACACCAACTAGCATTCGTAGTGGTTGGCTGGTGACAGCTTATACGCCAGAAATGGTCACCCGAAGCTTCCTTTATTTGCTGCTTCGATCTGCTTAGAGTATAAGCATATATAATCAGGGTAATCGTACCCACCCTATCGCGCCGCATCAGAATACTGATTTGTATCCTTCGCGTATTCCGCGGAACATTTATTTGTTAAGTTATTGCAAGCTTTAAACTGTGAATAGCATGAAATTATCAGCCGTATCCGCTGTGTTTGAGCGAATATGGAAGCTTCTGTAAATATAAGCTATCACTCATGACATACTGCTTAATAACGGGATTTTGTTTTTGAACGCTTCTGAATTTATCTGTTACCTGGAGCCTGTTAAAGTACATGTTTCATATTCGAACGGCCGGACCTGTTTGCACCACCGAAAAAAGGCTAAACCACTAAGCAGATCAGGATCGTTCCTCTGAGACTTGATAACCCC